CATTTGTGGTTTTATGGGTATGTTTATATGTTGGAATGCTCAGGCAAATGTATATGAAAGCATATGCAAGTATATGCATGTATGCATATTTAGTGAAAGTGTCAGAACTCCAGGGCCTTGTAATGAGCTCTGAGCGAATGCTCAGCAAGGCCGTTCCCCACCACTGAGCATTGTGAGGCCTCGGCAGCCAGAACTTAAGACAACATTGCGCACAAAGTGGGTAAACAGTGTCTGACATGTTTTCAATATGGTTACATTAGAACAAGCTGGGTTTGATTGAAAAGCTAATATTCAAGCCATGCAAATCATCAATCATGGGAAAAGGCCTATTAATTATTCAATAAAACAGTCTAATGCAAGAATCAATGTCGGGAAGTGGAGAGAGGGATGAGCCGGCTCCCAGCAGAGAGCACGGAGAGGGAGAGCGCGGCTAATATAAAGGAATAGGGAATTACCCCTCTCTCTGTGAGCTGTGGCCTATCTTGTCCCGGGCTGTCAAAAACAACTGTGACTCCCGCGTTTCATCTCACCAAGTTTAAAGACGACTTTGGAAACACTTTATTTCCCTCACGAAACTCATTAGGTCTTTGTTCCTCATTAGTTCAGCTTCTTTTCTCCATCTCTGTCTCTTACTCCTCCTCTGTTGCCCCCCCTCCCGTCACATATCACCCCTCGTTCTTTTTTCTTCGAAGTCATCGTTACAGCTCATGCGACCGCCTGGCTCGGGCGTTTTGAAGTTTTTGTATTGTGGACTCTGATCTTTGGCAATTACAACTGGGCCAAATCTCTTCCTTGGGAATTCATTATTTACGTTCAATTAAACAAATTCATCAGCAGTCGCCTCAGAAGAATATGGGGCGTGAAAGTGGTCGGCTGTAACGAAGCTGGGGCGCAGACCAGCTCAATCAGCTCTAATACAAAGACCCGAAGTGTCTCCTTCAGTCAGGCCCCCCCAGTACCTCAAAGGTGTTTCCACTTGCTTCATTACCCACTAGGGACTTCTAAAGTCCGACAGTCCGACACTTCAAAGATCATTAGTATTTATTATTAATGAATTAATACCCAATATCTGCAACAGACCTCGGCTATCGTTAAAAGTTCTGGAGCAAGAGTTAACTTCATTCAAAGCTAATTTAGGAGCCAGCGTCTGCACTTCCATTCAAGACACTTTTTGCAGATAATTTGAACAAAACTGAGACATAGCAGTGCTTGCTTGAGTCTTTATCCTCTCATGCTCATGAGTTCATGAGGTGTCTGTGAGGCATTAAAAGCCCTTCAAACTCTACAGCAGCAGTAGCTGGTCTATCTGATAACAACTCTGTGCTTCATGGACAAGAAAAGAAAAAGTCAATAGAAAGTGATGGTGGTGAGTTGATGAGGATTTCTATGTGACCACAGAAGAGTTTCAAATGAATAGCTGAATATATATATTTTTTATTAGATTTTTTAGATAGACATTGTCTCTAGAGGACACTTTAATCATGTTTGAATAACTTTTGAGAGAATCTATTTGGCAATAAAACCTGAGGCAGTGCTTTGCAAAACTATTCACACCGCTTAAACTTTTACATATATATATATATATATATATATATATATATATATATATATATATATATATATATATATATATATATATATATATATATATATATATTTTTTTTTTTTTTTTTTTTTTTTTTTTTTTACATCACAGTTCCAAACATTCATTTGGTTAATTTCGAAATTACTTTAATGATCCTGAAGGCTAAGTGTTTTCTATAATGTTCTTGATTTCATAAAAAATTCTTTCTTTACAAAAATCACCTCAGGAGGATCTAGAGAAGTTCTCAGGTCAGAGCTAATCTTTTTTATTAGGTTGTTAAAGTTCTATAGTTCTTGTTAAAGTTCTAAAGTTCCATTTGCTCTAATGAAAAGGAGATGACAGCATTATGTTTGTATTTTTGGTGAAAAGCAAACATAGAGCAGTAATGAATTATGAAGAGGAGGGAAAAATGGTTCCCAGTACTTTTTAACAAAAAATGAAACTTTAGGAGGCCTTTGTATTCCACAAGTTACCTTTAACTGTAGCTAAAGCTGCAAGTCTAAGGTAAATCTTAACAGGTTTTAAAAAATCAGCGAAATGACATTTTAGAACGATTGCATTTATCTATGAACATCTTTGTCATGTTTAAATCTTAATTTTTAGTGGGGAATTTTACCATATAAATAATAAACATCCAATGTAGATATAGGTGTACATTCTTTCCCATAGTCTTTTTAAAAGATGCACCTAAAACCCCTCCATCTATTTTTTTCTTTAGGGTCTAAAAGTTTTTTGCAGAATTTCCATTTATTCAGCTCAACTCATCTACCAGTCATTTCTAACTGGCTTCCCTGACTCTGATAAAGAAAGTCACCTATCTTTATTCTGTCCCCTGACATGATGTGCTGCACACTGCAAACATATATGTATATCATTACAATCTGACAAACTCACAACAAAAGAAAAGACAATTAGAAGAATTTTATTGATCCAATTAGTTTAGTCTTTGGGGCTCAGGCATCAGCAGGAAAACATTAGCAATGAATTTTGCTTTAATATGCAAGAACAGGAGTAAAGAACCAGGCCTGAAACTGGTGGTGGAGTGGAGATAGATGAAGTTGTTCAGTCCATGACTGCTGGCTGGTGAGACGGTGTGCTTGACCTTAATGAAGAGATCCAGAGGACTGAGTGAGCTGATACTAGTGCTTTCACTAGGAGACCTGTAAGATGGAAGTCCAGCTTGGATAACACAGGTTGCATGAACCTGTCCAGGATGAACAAGCATGGAGCGACAGTGGAGAGGAGAAACTCCCCTTTGTGAAGTAACCTCTGGCAGAACCAGGCTCAACATGGCGGACTTCTGCCTGACCGGTTGAGATGGGACAAGGAACGCAGTAAGAGTCTGGGAGGAATGACACTCTGATGAAGCTTTAGCTACAATGGTGGGGAAGGAGATGGAGTTGGGTTGAATCGGGGTCATCTGAATCAAAGCCAGACATATCGCAACCACTGCCTTTGTGCTTTGGGTAGCAGACTGAGATGAGGCTCCAAGACTCCATAATCAGCTGCAAAAAGGACTCTCTGTGTGTTAAGATAATTTGCTTTTAGCATTTTCTCTGTCAATTTGTGTTTTAAAATATGTACATCTACAGATGTTTCTCAAAGTTATATTTCATATTAATAAGACTTTCTAAAACCAAATGGCTCCAAAATGAAGTATTTTTCCCACTGATTATATATGTGTTGAAGCAAAGAAGGCTGTACCGGCTCTGATCTATTTTGATATATTTTTCACTTATGATCATGAGGTGAACAACTCAATATTTCATGCAACAAAATGTTTTTTAGATAAAAAGCAGATTATGGCCTATAACTGACTAGCTCTTGTGTTACACCCAGTGTCATCCTTCACCACTACTGTCATGGCACTGAGGGAGAATCTATAACAGCAATGCAATTGGTGTATGATGGATGCTTTCCTCCTGTTCCCCCTGTAGCAGAGATGTCATGGATTTGGGGTTGAAAAATATTTTTAAAATTCAGGCATTAAAATCAACAGATGAAACTGTTTAAATTGGCAATCAAACAAGCTTCTGTTCTTATAATCTTATCAGACAAGTATAATAAAACTGTCATTCCAAACTAGATTTAAATTTTTTACTTGAGATTAGTCTGATAATGAAGTTGGTATCCGAGCCTAAATAAACTTATTTGGGCATCTCATAATAAATTAGATTTAAGCTTTATTATTCAACAAAGAAGCTCGACCTTGCATTTTATTCTATTGATTATATAAGACATTATCATAGCACAGCGAGTTTAGGCCTCCCTTTACCTGAGATAACAGGATAAAAAAAATAGATATATTTTTTTTCATATTATCTTAAGCTATTACCTTATCGCAGTGAAAAGTGCTTGTGTTGGGCTTTTAAGTGGCACAGATAAGCATTAGCACAAATTCTTTTATGTTCACTCCAAGTGCTGCCTGTATAATTTTAGGGTACATTTTAAATTGTTTAATATGTTTATACATCTTTAAATGGCCTTGCCCTACTGCATCTTTCTCAGTGTTGCATCCCTGAAAGCCAACCCCCTCCCTCATATCAGCTTATATCAGCTTAAAGTGTGGAATATGTTGCCACTCCATCTCAGACAGGCATTTTCCATTGTCTGCTTTATAAGCTCTTTTTAAAACTTGTCTTTTCTCCTTGGCTTATAACACATGTAAAATATATTTTTGGCTACTCTGTTATACTTTTTTTATGTCGTTTTTAAAGCAGATTTTATGAATCCTGTTGTAGAATTCATGTTTCTTTTAAATGTATTTTTGTCCTTTCTGAGTCATGTTTCATTTTAAATCTGCACACAACTGTAGCATCTTAAAGAGCTGCACATGTAAAGCTAGATTGAATTTAAAACTAATTTTAATAAACAACTTTAAGCCTGTTTTCTCTCAAGTCCTCACAGAAATCCCAAAGTTAGATTTTTTCTATAACCAATAAACTCAAACTCACATAATCTCAAGATGATTTCTTTTACATACCGTAATATAAATCAAAGCAAACCAAGCTTTGGTCCAAATCTCAAGATAACCATTATCACATCAAAATAAACATGTGTACTTAGAGACGGTGAAAAACAGTAACAATTTACATTTTTCACACAGAAATAATCAAATTCTGTTAGTTAGTTAGTTAGTTAGTTAGTTAGTTAGTTAGTTAGTTAGTTAGTTAGTTAGTTAGTTAGTTAGCTGATTTAACCCACTCCTTTTTATCCTATAGTCCTTAACGTTTCTCATTTCCAATTTTTTTGCTCCTAAGCCAAAATGTAAAAAATGTATATCTCATCAGACATGCATATTTAAGTAAGTTATCACTAAATACGTTCAATCTATTGAAAAGTCAAAACCTGTCATGGTTGGTTAAGGGATTAAACCCACATGCAGAACACCACTGGAGACTGATAAAAAGTTCAACAGAGTTTATTGAAAGATTTCACAATATTAACAAGGACTGGATTCAGGAAACTGGTCCGGGCAGGATTCTCTGGCGTCTGCAGAGACGGATAGTTTGATTAGCCAGTTAAACAGGAGAATAGTTGAGTTTCAGATGTTTCTGGAAATACCTTGAATAGGTTCAGGCTTTCTCCTTTGAGAGAGGGAACCGGTTGGGTCCAGAGACTGTTGGTTCAGCAGAGTGCTCAGCAGCAGCAGCGTCTAGCTTCTGACTTTCCAGTGACAGACCTTGGTTTAACTGATCAGCTCTTTCCCTGAGAGCAGCAGATGGATTCCAGAGTGAGATCTTCAGGTTTGGCTCTCTAGGGCAGGCAGGCAGGTAACAGGCTAAGCTCATCCAGAGCTTCAGACAAGAGACAGGTTTCCTGTGAGTGAGAAGACAGAGGCAGATTAGAATTGGGTTTCTCTTGGGAGACAAAGATTCTAGTAATCACAGAGGCTCAGGTTGCTAACCAAACTTGGTCAACACTGCGGCGTTGAAGGAAGGTCTGGCAGCTGCTTAAGTAGAGCAGGTCTCCTGATGGGCTGACGGGATCCAGGTGTGCAGGAGGGCTCCAGCCCAGGAGACCCACAGCGCACTCTGCTGGAGAAAGGTGTTACTTCTCCAGATCCCAACAAAACCTAATTTTTAAAGTAATGGAACATACATACCTTTATCCTAAAAAAAAAATAAAAATTATCCAGAAATTCTTCACATGCAAAAGCTGTTCATCACAACGTTTTATGGTGCAAAGCCTGCAAAAATTCTGGCAGCACTCATTGCATGCTTTATGAACCAGCAACAAAGTCCTAATTAAAAAGCTGGCAGACCAGCATTGGGATTATTTGAAGAGTTGTTGAACATGGGCCCCCGATTTGAGTCCTTTGAGACATATTATGAGTTTCACCATCCTTGTCCCCCGAGAGCCACTTGAAAGACCTAATGTCATTCCTACTGTTTGGGCTGTATCCCAAAGAGGTTAACGTTAGGTTTATATTTCAGCATTTCAAAAGCTTTCCCTTTGTTGACGAGGCATTCAAAAGCTGTGAATGATAACTAGTTGGCTATAAGAGGATATAGCTAGAAATTGTCAGGTATTTTGTCAACTCTATTTTAAGTATAAATAATGACTGTTAGTCATTTTTATAAAAGCTTTATCAAACAATACACAAACACTAAACCTGATTCAACAGACAAGCCTGAGAAGTTTAGCATTGATAGAGCAACAGTTCCTCTTTTAACACAACTCACCCTCATTTAAAAATGAAAAAACCGTCAGTCCGAATGTATGGCTCTAGTCCAGTTTGACTTAGCTATCTGACTAAACACTAGTAGGAAATGTAGTAGGCATACTTAAAGTCTAGACTGAACTGGTATGTTGATGCAGACATTAGAGGCTAGTCACAGAAAACAAGAATATACCCCCTTTGCACCCTTTCTTTTCCCTCTCAAATTCACAATTAGACGCTTACAAGTAGGATCATGAAAAGTAGCACCCAGGGCCCTCTCTGTGCATGTAGAACAATACTCTGACTGTCAACAATCAGGCATAAATTAACAGCCACGGCCTCTACTGTATTTACTCTGGTAATTACCTCCCAGGAGAGCACACTCGCACACAGCAGCAGACACCGCAGCATGGCATGACACCGGTGTATCCGTGTGTGCGTGAGAGCAGGAGAGAGGGGTCTTTACACGTACCATCAACACATGGACGCCTGTGCACAAGAGCTGTGCTGTGTGCTGAGAGACATATGCTTGCAAAGAGAGAACTTATTTGTCCCTTTGATTGTGCGCTAAAGCTTTAAACCATATAAATTACTAAGCTGATAAAAGCTAATCAGTCTTTTCCGTTAGGGGACAGCAACCTCTGGGACAGATGGTGACTGATTGATTGACAGTTCTGAAAGGATTTCAGATTCGAATATCAGAGTTCAATAAAGAAACTGACAAAAAAGAGTGAAACGGCTAGACAGTCGGAGAGGCAGCGCGAGACAGAAAGAAGCAGGAAGAGGAGAAGTGAGAGCGAGGGAGGAAGACAGAGAGACGGGGACACAGGCAATGACAGCCACATGAAATCTCATCTCCATTTTTGACAATGGGGGAACCATCTGAAGAGCAGAGAACAGAGGGAGGAATTTAACTGCTTTCATCTTGTCATAATTATCTCCAAGAAGCCACATGAAAGGAGAAATCTGTGTTTTTTGTTTATAAATTAGAGAACAAGGACATTTTCTGTGACAACTTTGATGGCATTTTTCCTCTGTGCATGGCTGAATAGTCCTGAGCTAATGATCCCTTCTCTTCTTTAAGAAGAGTGGGAAAAAAAGCACTAATGAAAATTGCAATAAAAACAACACTAAACACAATTTAGCAAATGAGCCAAGAGCTCAAGTGTCACAATTCAGCGAGCATCGTTATCAAATTACTACAATTGCTGAGCACTGATCTGTGAATCTAGCAATATTTTCAATTATAACTGTCTAGCAGCTCTCACCAAAGCTAATAAAAAGAAACTATCTCCATGAGGAGGGAGACTGTAGCATGGTATCCCTACTCACACATCAGTAAACTAAGCCACAGTCATTTCTATGATCCGTGCAGTTTGGCATTCATGGACAGGTCAGCTAATGAAGGGTGAAACCAAAGGCAGCAGTGATCAATAGTTCCCTTCAAGACACACAGGAGCACTCTGAGTATCCATCAGTCTCCATCCTGGGATGGAAAGTTAACCATAGACTAAAAATAATAACAACATGGGTTCGTCTGTACCTTATTTTCAGTCCAACTCTGCAGCCACATTGCATCTATTCCATGTGCCTGTTTATTTTCTTGCAATTTAGTTCCTTCAGTTTTGTAGTGCACTGACACTTAAGTCACATTTTTCTGCAGAAGAAATACATTTTGAGTTAAATTAATAGATAATAATTATCAAATAAGGTACAGATCCAATTTTTTGTACTGAATAACTTGATAAGTGCCTTGTTGAAATAAGACATTTTTGGCAAAAAACTTAATGATCAATCAAGACCAATCATCAGGCTTCCTCCATTATGTGTAATATTGGTAAAAGATATATTTGGTTTTCTGCAAAATATGTAGAGTATTGTGCAAGACAAACAGCTGGCATTTTGTATTTTAAGCCTGTGAAGTATTTGGTTTTTTAATTATGCTTGCATAGTTTTTTGGGGTTTTATTTTTGGACAGAAAAGAGGGTAATCCTTTTCAATTCATTAATTACTTTCAACAAGATCAACATTTAAACTTATGCTTCCTTTCAGTTTTTACCCCTTACAGATTTCTAACCTTTTGACTTGTTATATCATACTTTAAAAAATAAATCATCAAGCAACTTGTATTAATAGCAAAAGATCACCTGTGTAAATATTAAAACCATTTTATGTTCTATGGAAAAAAACAATTTCAAATCGTGAATTTACCGGGATTACACTACATTTTGCTGGCAAACCAAAGCAGGAGCTATGACGCACAGTTGGACCTTACATGTAGACTTTGTGAACTTTCACAGGACAGGCCAGTCAAGGAAAACAACTCAAATAGCATTTCAACAATCAACCAGGATGTCCATAATAAAGCCAGATAAAAATCCAACGCAAACCTAAGTGGCCTGTCTGCCATTTGTAAAAAATTAAAATTAAAATTAAGTAAAATCTTGTTTATCCCCAAAACTTTTTAAAATAGTGGAATGATTAGAACGGTGTACATCATATTACTTCTGAAGTAAAACTAACACAACAGTACAGAGTTCAATTGCATTGAAGTCAAGATGTGAGACTTTGAGCTGGCTTCGCTTGCTGGGTGAATAGCCATGAGTGATGGAATCATATCTACCAGAAAGTCCTAAAGAATGTCTGGCCATCAGCGAAGAACCTTAAACCTAACAACATTTCAGTTTAGCAGTGCAATGATCTAAAGCGTAGGTCTTCAACAGGGGGTCCGTGACCCCTAGGGGGTCCACGGAGGTACTGCATGGGGGTCCCGAAAGTTTTGGTTGATAACACTCTTTTTTTAATATTCCCCCCTGCAATTTTTCCACTAATTGAAAATACTTTAAATACACATAAACATGAATTAAACACACTATATTAAACAGATAAATGGAGGTAGAAGATGTCTTTCAGTCATCAATGCACACATTCAGCAACACAAAGGAGCTCTTTCAAGCTGGGCACCGTTTCATTCACAACACCTTTTCCTACAACCAGGAATCAGAATCAGAAATACTTTAATAATCCCAGGTAGAAATTACTTCCGTTATTATATTACTCCATCTGTAATAGAGTGACTATAGGACCAGTTTGATATAACACAATTTTATTCAATATATATAATTGGGGTCCCCGCTCCATCTTGCCATCAGTTTGGGGGTCCTTGTCCTGGAAAACGTTGAAGACCCATGATCTAAAGCATAGTAGCAAGCCACACCTTGAATAACTAAAAAAAAAGGAACCTGTTGAAGGAACCTAGTGAGGTGTCGGACTGGATTTAATTCAGAGATAGAACGCAAGTTGAGTTATATCATTCCTGCCAAGAATAGTAGAAAAAATTTCCATAGTGGTGGTTTGTAGTTGTTGATGTTAAGGTTGGCACAGCTTGTTTTTTCTTTTATTCAATCGGAAAAAATACTTGGGAACAACTTTTATGTAATATCTGGGTTATCTATAACCAATTAAAATCTTTTGAATTCAAATACCCAAGCATGACTCAAATTAAAGAAAAATTAAGATTTTTCCGAGTGGCCAAACACTTTTTCAGAGCACTGTATATGTAAAGATACAGTACTGTAATCTTATACTAAAACAATAAAGATCAAAAATACACACCAAAGGATTTGTTAATATGATGTTTCCTAGTAAAATACGCCCCACAGCATAATTTTCCCACCACTATGCTTAGCAATTTTCTTGCTAGCTCTGTTCATATAGTTATACTTTATTTTACACCACACCTACCCACACTGTTTGCTGCTGAGGAACCTAGAGCTTGTCAATTTTATTATCTTTACTGAGCATATCACTAAAATGTAAGTAGCTGCATATATCTTTATTAGAAGTCATTAAATACCTTGTTTGAATTATCTATTATGCCAGTTTGACTTTAACAACCACATACAAATATTTTTCATTGAGCATAAATAGAGAAATGTAGACATAGAGTTTAGAGCAGATGCCAAGACAATGAGAGGTGGTAGTGACTGGTCTGAGCATCAGATGACCCCAGTTCACATCCCTAAATGCATCCATCTGCCAGATGAAGAACCAGTGAACATGATACAATGATTTCATGATACCAATGAAATCATTAGGATGCAATATCTATCATACACTGGGAGTTGGAAGGTTTACTTTTTATAGCCAAAGACAATGTGAAGATTAGCCAAAATATGCACAAGGAACACCAATGTAAATGAATGGTTGTCCAAATTTGAATCAGAAGAATAGACCAGTTTAATGTACAGATGTCTTAAAGGTACAAGCATGTACAGCCATTTGTTTAA